TTTGCCCAGTCTTAATAAAAGGGGAGACAATGAGTTTACGGTAACTTAATATGCCATGTTTTCTTGATATCCATGGGAGGCCTGCCCATTTTTCAATAGAAATTGAGGAGTGGATGAAGGAGGGGTAAAGGATAAGTGGGGAAAGGGACTGGGAAGGAGGGAGGAGAAACTGAGTTTAGGTTGTAAAATAAATAAATATTCAAAGAGAAAGAAAACAACCCTATTAAAAGTAGTGTACAGGTCTAAGCAAATAATTCTAAAAAGAGGAAACAAATGTTTGAACTCATGATGTGTCTTCATTCACCATTGGGTGAGGTCTTTATTTCTCCGAGTATTCTGACTTATGTCTTACACATATTGACACTTTATAATGATAATTTGTCTTTCAATATTTTAAGTTATCCGTTAATTTATAAAGCCAAAATTAATGTTCTCTTTTAAAACTTACCTTTTATGGTTCCACATTGGTAAATTATTCAATATTTTCAGGAATTATGTTCAGTTTTTCAGTAGATCTCTTAAAAAGTTTCTTCACTATGCTCATATCCACATCTTCTTACATATAGTTTTGAGCGTATTACCCCTGTGCACCCAATGCAACAATAAAGAACAGCAAGAAAGACTGGAGAAAATGATGTGTTCACCAGGCTCTCCTATAATCTCATACTAACTCAGTTTTCTTTTAACTCTCAATGTTCTGTGCCTCTTTGTACTGTGAAGAGGACAGGCAAGTATTTAAGCAATGCCAAGCTGGTCTATATGTGAACAGTTTTTGAAAAACACTTTTTTTATATGTATGGTTGTTTTGCCTGCAGGTATGTCTGTGTTCCAGATAATGAGCTTATTACTCCTCGATGCTAGAGATGAAGTCAGGGATTCTGAAATTGAGGCTACAGATAGTTCTTAGGCCCTGTGTGGGTTCAGGGAATCAATACTGGGTCCTTGGGAAGAGCAGCCAGTGCTCTGATCTGCTTAGCCAACTGTCCAGTCCACTCTATGACCATTTTTATCAGGAATATGATCAATAGACAATATTATTTGCATATTGAACTATTAGAAACCTGTGTCTTCACTTAATATGTGTGAGAGTTGCTTTGAAGAGCTAAGGTGCAAGTTGTACCACAGTTCCCCTTGATTGTTTAAATAGATGAATTCCTAGACTTATTGGATAACTAGCCAGGATAAAACATCTGAATAAAATAAAAAAATACACAAAGTGAAAGAACAATATGAGGGCTGGAATCAAGTGGCTTATACTGTAACTGAAGAACTCACAAACTGGAGGGAGGAGAATCAGGAGGCCAGGCCTGCCTCAGCTACAAAGCATTTCTGGGCCATCCTCGACTCTTATCAGACCATGTGTCAACAAAAATTAAATTAAAAAAAAAAGAATGCTTTGAGAAGGATGAGAAGAGCCTATAGACTCCACAGAGGATGTAGCAGAGTTGAAGAGTCTCTTCTCTGTCCTATGATATAGTGAGTAGACTGGAACTGAAGAGGCAAAAAGTTTAGTGATGGATTTCATTCCTCTGTTGTAAGAGGAGCAGCAGGGCTGTGTCCCCAGCACCCCAGCCGCCTGCTAGTTCATGCCCGAAATAACAACACACAAACTGTATTCATTAAAACACTGCTTGGCCCATTTCTATCTAGCCTCTTCTAGGCTAATTCTCACACCTGGACTAGCCCATTTCTAATAATGTGTGTAAGCACCCCAAGGTGTGCTTACCGGGAAGATTCTAACCTACGTCCATCCTGGGTCGGAGCTTCATTGCATATGCCCAGGAGAGTGAAGCAGGGCCTCTGCTCCAGAAAGCAGAGCTGTCGAGTCTGAGCTCACTTCCTCTTCCTCCCAGCATACTATTCTGTTTACTCCTCCCACCTATGTTATAACCTATCAGGGCCAAGGAGTTTCTTTTATTGCTTAACCAATGAAATCAACAGATTGATATATGACACTCCCACATCATTCCTCAATATGAAAGAGCCTAGTTATTCATTTGAAACCATTTAGGGGCCCCTTTATTACTCTTACTGAATTCCCAAAATGTATTTCTAATATCCTTGCTCTTAGTGCTTCTGGACCAGAAGGACACACTCGCACTATACCTAAGTACTATGTGGGTAGGTACAATAACAGAGTATTAGAACAACTCTGATTATAAATGCTAGGACAATCAGGTGACTATGGGCACAGGAAATCTCAAAATAGAGGGTTTTTTATTTATTTTTTGTTTGTTTGTTTTAAGAAGTGTGAAGTTTAAAGTTTAGTGTTTTCAACCTTTAGCCTCTGGAGAGAAGTAATATCAGGTGGGAAACTAACCAAAAAAAGAGTTTCCCCAGCAAAGTGGTTCAAATTAAACATCTCCGTGGACTCTTAGCTATTCCATATAACCGCCTCAGCTTGAGCAGGAAGAAAAGTTTGCAGATGTGAAACGATAAAGCCTGCTGAGGGCTGAGGGTTTGACCAGAGGTTAGAAGGTGTGATTGTACTGATGTACACAGCTTCCTAGGTGCAGTCTCACCACAGTGAGTGGGCACATAATGTGGCTTTCAAATAAAAGTGATTCTTGTAGCAAGGAACCAGAAACATACATATAGTGGATATATATTTATGTTTATCTGTATGTGTTTTTACACAAAAGTGAAGTTAGAAGAAAAAATAAAGAAAATGAAAACCATTTTTAAATTTCTCAACTTTCTGTTTTATTAGCTGATTATGATTAAGTTTCATACTTTTGTGCTTTACTTTGCTCAAAGAACTGCAGTGTGAGTGTCAATCAATGAGATGTGAAGAGACTCGATCTTTAATGTAATCATCTTCATTTGCAGATTTTATCCTAAACTCAGAGCTTCATAATAAACAGAAGATAAAATTTGCAGCTGGCTTTTATTTGCCTTTCCAGTTATTTGTATGATTCTGTCTCCACTATGTATGCAGTTTCTGTTCACACTATTCTCCTTGTTTGTCAAGCACACTGCCTACACCATATCTGTTGTCCATTCTGCTGTCACAAACAAGATGGAAAGGACGTTGAGCGTGTATCACAGTTTCAGAGAACGAGGAGACAACACTCACATGTTTGCTCTGCATTTGCTCCGTATTGCTCCTAGGACCACAGCCCCCCATCAAGGATGGAAATCAGAAAAATGTCTCAACAGCATTAATCTTTCTGTGAACAATTTGATGTGAATCCTCAGACCTGAGGTCATCAGTGTTGTTTTTCTAACTACTGTGAATTTCTCAGATCCTCAGTTTTATTTATGGTCTCGATTCTAAAACAAAGCAAAACAACCTGCCATCACAGTGTCTTAGGTTCTTTTTCTGTTATGATAAAACATAGATAAGGCAGCATAGGGAATGAAGGGTTCATTTTTCACTCACTGTTCAAGTTTATAGTCCTTCATGGTAAAGAAGTCACTGTAGCTGAAGCTTGAAGCAGCTGATCAAATTTCATCACAGCAAGAAACAGAGAGCAATTAATGAGCATACAAACTCAGCCTGCTCTCTTCATTTATACAGTCTGGGATCCCAGTGTAGGAAAATGGCACCAGCTACAATGGATGGATCTTCCCACCTCGATTAACCTTGCAAATATAGTTCTTCATAGTCTTTTTCAGAGCTAAATCTAGCATAGATAATCTCTGGCAGGTGTGCCCAAGTCTTATCTTTGCTTGATCTTGTCAAGCCCACAATACTAACTACCACTACCAGTTTGATATGATAAGATAAAGAACCTAGCTCATCGTGTGTGCTGGTTCATCACAGTTACTGTAGCAGAGCAATAGCCTGAGAAAGTTACAATGAAAAGAGGTTTATTTGGGTGCAGATTTTTTAAGGTTGGAAATCTCATTATCAGTTGTCATCATTTGGGGTGAGGCCTAACATTTCCCGACCCACGACACAAAGTGAAGGGTGATCGTTGCAGATTGGCATATGTAGAACAATGAACGAGATGGATGGGCTTACTTTGTGACACCTGCTGTCAGAGAGGAGGGGTGCTTTATAGATAAGGTCTCACTTAATAGCTCTAGGTGTTCTGAAACTCAATACATAGTAGACCAAGCTGTCCTTGCACATCTGATTATTCTCCTGCCTGTGATTCCAGGGATTGCAACAGTGTATTATCATGTCTTATTGCATGAAAGTTTTTGTTTATATAAATCATATTGCAGTCACCATACACATCGCACACACACAGAGACACAGAGACACACAGACACAGGCACGCACACACACACAGTATAAACTGTTTCAGTAATATGTATCTGTAACACAGAACTGAGGAGGATGATGCAGGAGAATATTGGATTTGAATCCAGCCTGGGCTTCATAGTGAGTTTCAGGTCATTATTAGTTGTACATCATGATCTTGTCTGAAACAGAACCAAAAACCCAAACCAGCAAACAAACAAATAAGCAAGTTCTCAAAAGATGAACATGTAGCTCAAAGTTCATCTCTTGTGGCAGACATGCAAGAGCTTGGGTTTAATAGCCCAGCCTCATAAAAATGACAGTAACGAAACCACCTAATGCGGAAAGACATCAACTTTCATTGTAAACATTAAAGGGTAGATCAGTAAATGCCAAGAAATCACAAAGGGAATTTGACTGTCATAATATGGCATTCCTAATATACATAGACATCAATAGACAAAATTAAAAAATAAATAGTACTGCTTCCTCTGAAATAGTAATATACTAATCTAACACAAAATTCCTGAAAATTGCTAAAAATTGGAACTGAAAAATTTAGTCATCCCATTTATTCTATATACCCTTATATTCATATAGAGCTGTTTCAGTCATTTCTTCTAAACAATGGCTTCTTTTAATCCCATTATATTTTAGCTGAAAATATTGACAGTGTTTCGTCAAAATGTATCTATCTTTATCCTTTCAGTCAAGAAATACTGGCTAAAAATGTGATTCTGCTGCATATGAAATGGGATTATTTCATATGCAGGAATGCATAGTTCATCATTCAGATCTTTCAGTATCAGCTCTCAGCATACAATTTCCTCTTTTCACTTTGGTCGAGAGGAGGGGCAGAACTTTAAGCGCTGGAGTAACTTGCAGAAGGGACTTTCTTCTGTGTTTCATTTGGAGCTTCTGAGGGGAACCAGAACAGGAAAGGACAACTTGTTCTACATCCCCAGTTTCCTCCACCTTCATCACCACCTGGATGGGCTAAAGGTAACAGCAATTTTGATTCCTTCAGACACCTCCACACAGGATCATACTTATTCTATAGAAATACCATTCAGTTACAAATGGCCGGCATGACAGTAACAGAGATAAGAAAGACAGGTGATCATATTAGGACTGTATTAGGTCTGCCTGTGAATGTTGGAATTTAGCTTCAAGAGAAGAATTTCTTTTAGTGTGCTATGATTTTTGTTGTATGTGTGTGATATAGAGTGATCAGTAGAATTAATTAGCTGGTGATTAGTTCAAGTGGTTTGTATACTTTCTTCTGCACTTTGTAGAATTTTATAATAAAAAGACATTTTATTTTTAGGGAACTCATGAAATTGTAATTGAGTTTAGAAAATTTCATCAATGAAAATGTGTTAGATATACTTGAAATGAATTGAGATCACCAAAAATTGTTAATATTACCTGTTTATTCATTGCCCTTTCAAATACTGTTTAATGGAAGACACTAGATAAATCATAAGTACTTATGATTTAATCATTTTGTCATTAATTCTCATTTGTTTTGGAAGCCAGCCACCTTCCACACTCTTTACAGCATTAAGATATTTAAAAGAGTTAATAATCTTCCACCCTAAAATTCTGGAATGTTTTAAACTTGGATATTTAATTTTTTCTTTACCTAGACATCATCCCAAGACAATATTTTAATTTAAGCCTTCTTGCTTCTGACCAAAATGAAGAATCAGCACGTGATATATTCAAACTCAAGAGTATTTGAGTCCTCTTCAGAGTCACAGAGTCCGGCCAGTCAGGATGAGACTCACGGTTCTAGAGAGGTTTGCCACAAAGGTGAGTGCTCTCCTCCTAGGCACTGTAAACACCAGACATTGCAAACTCTCTGATGATTATCGACTGATAACAGGTGATCATTGCTGGAAGTAGTGAAGATTTAGAAGCATTTATTAAAAAAGTAAAATTTGAGATTGAAAAAATCAATAATTTATTTGTCATTTTTTTTGGTCAGGATCTCAAGTAGCCAGGATCGATATTAACTGTGCTGTATGGCAAAAAGTGGGCCAGAATCCTTGATTATCCCAGCTCAGCTGCTCAAATGATGGGATTACAGTTGTGAGCCAACTAGCCTGTCTTGAATACATTTTTATAAATTTGAGAAAACTTCAGCTTTTAATTAATTTTATCAAATTATGATTTAAAGTATGAGGCCTTTAGAAATTAACTACATTCTGAGGAAACACCAAATTTTGTAAAGAAATAAAATCTTAAAGAAATGAAAAGTATAGCTGGGCAGTGGTGGTACACACCTTTAGGCCCAGACCTAAGAAGGCAGAGGCAGGCAGATCTCTGTGAATTTGATGCCAGCCTGTTCTACAAGAGCTTTTTCCAGGACAGGCTCCAAAGCTATAGAGAAACCCTGTCTTAAAAACAAACAAACAAACAAACACACACACACAAAAAAAAAAAAGAAAAGTGTGTGTTAAAAGCATATCTCTTTCTAAACAAGATATTCCAATGTCATTATCAGCATCGACAGTCAGGTCAGAAGGGAAGTCAAAGTCATTACTCTTATTCCCTTGTCCTTCAAATATTGTCCCATTTAATGTCTAAGCTAAAAACTTCTGCTATGTTAGTGTGGTGATAATAAAATGCAGGACCCTAGAACCCAAGACCTTAAGTCACAAGGATAAATATCTTATTTTCTGAGAAAAACATAACTGATAGACAGGAAAAGAGCTGACTTCTAATATTTTTTTATGACGGAAACTTATAGAGTTCCAAATTTTTAGACTACCAGCTTCTCAAAGTTTGTCAAGATTGATCTTTCCTTCCTCTTCCAGCTGAGTTGTGATCTCTTTAGTGGGCTGCTAATTACAGTTTGGTGTTTTCTACCTGCGTTGTGCTTATGCCTTCAGTGCTTTGTAAGATGAACAAACTGTGCACCTGGAAGAGGCAGTTCAAGCTGTCATTCCAGCGTCCTGTGAGACTGGGTCAGGAAGACTGAGAGTTCAAGGCTGAATGGGCGAAACTTATCTAAACTCCTAGAGAACTGCTTCTATATGTAAGGTATAAACAGAATAGTTGTCTGCCATTCAGAAATCTAAAACTTAAACTTTTTAGAGCTCATTAGAATTTATTAATTATATAAAATAGAGGGTTTCATTATGATTTGTGTATACAAGTAAATATAATTTACTGATCATCTTTATCCATTATTATTATATTCTATTCCCCTTCCCCAGTTGCCCTTCCAGTACCTCCTAATGATCCTACTTTGATGTATTGTCTCTATTGTTTGCTTTCCCTTTTATTAGTAATATGTTCACATGTGTTTATATATTCAATCTGACATTCCATTTATCACTGTTCACATGCATGTATTTTAGAACTGACCACTTGGTATTAGATATTCAATTTATTGGAAGAGATTTATTTTCTCTATCACCTGTCATCAATTGCCTGGGATCATGTGGAGATTTCTCCTGTCCTTATTGGCATGTTCTCTGGTGTTGTAGTTGGGCTGGTCTGGCTTAAGTTATGATATTTTTCAGATGGCTGAATGTAGCTTCCCTATTGTGAGTCTCTGTATTTTACAATCTTTAGTTCTCTCTTCTGAGCTGATCCCAGAACATTAGGTGTAGGAGTTAGTTTGTATTCTGGGATTTTGCTTAAAACATTAGAGTTTATCATCCCTTTATCACATGAACTCCAGGTTATGGCTAGTGGTGAACCATGGGATGGTTCTGGGGATAATTCTCTTGTTTTTTGATGTCTTTAGAGTTATATCTCTTACAGTCAGTCTCCTTACATCTCATTGCAGTGGCTCTGGGGTTCCTTTGCTTACTTCTGATGACGGCAATCGCACTGTGGCTGACATACAGTGAGTAATTCTCATGCATCATTTTCCTAGGTAATGCCAATAGACCCTAGTTATGCCAAAGAGGTCATACTTTGCCCATTATTTTGTCTGTCATCAGGTGACATTCCAGGTGGCCCAGAATTCGTAAGTTTTTCCCCCCTGGACTCCTGAACCCTTGGACATTACAATGACTCTGGGGCAGCTTGTCTTACTCATAATAATATTCCCTGTGATAACATGTGTATTGCTGATATTCAGCTTTCTGCTTGGGTGATAATGAATCTTACATAGACAGCCTGTAAAAAGTAGCAGTCCAAAAAATTACGTTGTTTTATGACTTTCTTTTACAAGCTTATATCAATGACATTGTGAAATATGGAATCTGTACACAGAAGTTAGAAGTTCAAGGATTTCAGCTTTACATTTAAAGGATTAAAATGTCATGTGTTGTAAGAAACCTTCCTTACATTTCATTATGACTGGTTTTCTTTAATAAACTGCTTATCTCTTATTTTTAACATTCGTTCAGGTTTTAATGTTTACCAAGAGCTTTTGCATATGGTCTCTACTCACAATAGGAGTGCAGATTCTCATTGTTCAAGGACAAATAATATTTTAACCTAATGAATTAAAATATATGAAAGAAATAAAAGCATAAAAAATCTTTGAAACATTCCAAACAAATAAAATATGTTTTATGTTATGATTTTAAAATAAAATAACTCCCAATCATAGCACCATTCTGTAATGCTTTTGATTAGAAGGCCAAGGCAAAAGAATTTTATATTAGATGCCGGGCGATGGTGGCGCTTGCCTTTAATCCCAAGAGGCAAAGGATCTCTGTGAGTTCGAGACCAGCATGGTATACAGAGCTAGTGCCAGGAGAGGCTCCAAAGACACAGAGAAACCCTGTCTTGAAAAACAAAACAAAACAAAAACAAAAACAAAACAAAGAATTTTATATTTGAAGACAGTCTGGGCAGCCCAGCAAATTCCAAGAAAGCCTGAGCTACACAGTGATAAAACTCCACAGAACAAAGGTCAGAGACAAAGTTTGTTGATAGAGCAAGGCCAACTCCAACACTTCACAAAACAATCATATTGATTAAATTTGTTATTGCTATTCAAACTTCAAGCATTTTAATGTATTTAACTTGAAATGCTTGGGGATATAGGTGTACTCTGGAAGGCATCCCCACAATCACCAGAAAAGTCCATCACTTTCAAAAGCTTCCTCGTGCTTCTCTTACTTGTCTTAAGGAAAGAGCATTTAAAATAGATCTCAGCACATCTCTGAGTGCACAGTCACTTGTGAACTACTGTGGGCTCTGTTCATTAACACAGATCTAGCACCGTATCCTACATGCAATGGCCTCAGAACAGCAAATGTTCATTTCCCACTTCCCAATCCCTGGGATCCTCAAAGCTGCTGCTTCTTGAACCTGGGCACTGAAGCTCATCTGAGTGGAATCATAAAGTATGGTCGTGGGCCAGGAATGTTTCACTTTGCATCCTCGAATCCATCCAGGCTTCTCTGACAGAATTTCTTGTAGACTTTTGAGAAAGGGAGGATGATGCAAAAACACTGGTGTCTCTTTAGTAATTTAATATGCTCCTGACAGATGTTGTGTCCTGACACTAACTGAGCAGCAGACAGGAGTCTCTTGGGAAATTATTACTGAACTGTTGGTCACTTAGCTCAGGATTTCTCTTTGGGGGCATTAGATGTGAGAAATGTTTTAATTCCATAGTCCAGGCTCATGGTATAGCCAAGGTTGGCCTAGAATTTACTTACTAGTCAAGGATTGCCTCAAATTGGTGGTGATTCTCCTGCCTCAGCCTATGGATTTCCAGGCTTATAGTCACAAACTACCATGCCTGGTCCTTGTTTTAAAAGAAGATATATAGTATTTCTTTTTGTGTATGTGCTATGATTTCTCTGATTCATCTATAATGGATGCCTAAGTTGTTCCCCTTATTGCTATTATAAATATTGCTACATAGAGCATGAGTATGTATCGTGTCTCTCAGCCTCTACAATCTCTATTTCTGAGAGCTGTGAGATTTTACTTAGTTACATACCTTTAATAAATACATTATTCTAATAACAGAATACCAGAGAATAAGAGGTTTAACTATTCAGCTTCTCTGTTGTAGACAAAGATGTTAAATGACACTGGTTCTGCTGTGACATAAAATGTAATTTCATCATGGACAATAAACATTGGAGTGGATGTAAACAGACCTGCCAGGACTGCAGCTTGTGCCTTTTGAAGACAGATGATGAGGATAAACTAGTACTGTAGACTCTTACTTGTCACTTATCATCCTAGACTCTGTGGTGACCCTTGGATAGTGAGATACTGGGTGCAGGTATTTTTTTGAAAGTAAGACCTTCAAGGGTTGTATATGGTTTGCCTATAATGTTAGCAAAACAGTCCAGTAAGAGTCTCCAAGAAAATTCATTCCTGTTCCTGGCTGGGTCAGGACACAGGGTCTTTTACAAAAAGACTTGATACTTAAAAGACAATTGTCATTTTGCAATCTCCTCCCTTTCTCACGAATCTGTAAGAGAGTCCCGCAGAGAAATAAGTTTTCCCTGAGTAACTTTAACCCTTTAGTATAGAATATTCAGCAACAGACATTTATTTATTTCCATAGAGTGCCAACTACACTTGCCTGGAGCGTGCGGCTTGCTCCTTGAAATCCAGAAATGAGACTCCCTGAAATGAGCAGTTGGGTGACAATAAAGAAACTAGCTGACTTCTGGGCCCATTTGCAAAATGGAAATTATATAAGAGCCATAAAATAAGTGGTTTTTACCAGTTAGTCCAATGTTGATTTTAACTGAATCTACCCATAATATTAGCTTCATAATATGTATGTCTTTCAAAAAAAATGTTATTTGTCTTTGGAAATTAATATTTAAAAGAAATCAAATGGTCAAGGTCCTGACATTGTCTGTGTACATTTATTATGAAAGAAATGTATCAAGATACATAGAGTGTGTTTTTCTTGAAAAATGATTGCAGAATAAGCTTGAACCTTTTATCATTTAGAATACAATTCGTAACTTAAACAGAAATTTATTCTCATGTTTGAATAATTACAGCATAAAATGTACTTCTATATCATGTAATTATATACTTTTCTATTTGATACAGAAAACGTAGTTAAATTCAAATTCATATGCCAAAATATATTCAGTCATTTTAGTAGTCGTCATTCCATTTGGATGTCGTATATAAAGTACATTCTAATATTTTAAAATATGTTTCACTCTCTGTTGGAAGGAGGCCACTTGTTTGTTTCCTGGCTGTTGGGCCCCAAAATAACAACACAGAAACTATATTATTTAAAACACGGCATGGCCTATTAGCTCTAGCTTCCTATTGGCTATCTCATGCATATTAATTTAACCCATTTCTAGTAATCTGTGTATTGCCATGTGGCTGAGGCTTACAGGGTAAAACTCCACCTGGCGTCTGTCCCTGGCTGGGCACATGGCTTCTTCTCTTGACTCTTCCCCTCTCTCCCAGCAATCAGTTTAGTTTTCCCCTCTTATCTACACTACCAGTCCAAACCAGTTTCTTATTAACCACTGGAATTCACAGCATACAGAGGGAATCCCACATCACCTCTCCTCATCAAGTTCTGCCACTTCCAAGTCTGAACTAAAGAATGGCTTCCCCTCTGGAGCATGGAGTTTAATGCACAGCTCTTCACACAGAATTTTTCAACTTTTAAAAAGTTTGTTTATTTTACCTCCTGTCTGCTATTTCCCCTCCCATCCCTCTCCTCCTAGCCAGTCCCTACTCTTTTCTGACCCCAACCCCCAATGTACTACTACTCCTTTTCTCTCAGAAAAGAGTAGGCTTCCCATAGATATTAACAAAAAATGGACATATCAAGTTGCAGTACGACCAAACACCTACCCCTGTATTAAGGCTGGAAAGTGTGATCCAACATGAGGGGAAGTGTACCAAAAGCCCAGAAAAGAGTTAGGGACAGCCGTTGCTTCCAGAGTAAAGTGTCTCAAAAAAGACCAAGATATACAAATGCCACATAAGAAGTGTCCAGTAGTTATCATGCAGGCTTCCTGGTTGTCTGTTCGTGCACTATGAGCTCTCATGAGTCAAGGGTAGTTGATTCCGTTACTTCTCTTCTGAAGTCTTTGATCCCTTTGGTTCCTGCCTATCTTCAGCAGGAGCTTGGTCTTAAGTTTGACTGAGGGTCTCTGTCTCTACTTACATTAGTTGCTTAATGAAACCTCTCTGAAGACAATTGGGCTAGGAATCAGTCTGAGTATAGTAGAATATTACTAGGCACCATTACATTGACTTTTTTCCTCTACTTATCTGGTTCTATCCTAGGTCTCTGGGGTCCTGGTGCTCCAATAAGTAGGTCCTGGTAGTGTCAGGGGCAGGCTTATTCTTATGGCTTGGGTATTAGAGTATACCAGTTATAGGTTGGCCATGCCCCCAATCTCTAGGCTTCCCTTATCCATGCCAGTCGCATTGGCAGATCTGACTATAGTCAAAGGTTATGTGGTTGAGTTGCCATCTCAATCATTTCACTTCATCTGTGGACTATAGTATAGTTCTCCTGTATTTTACAGCTAATATAAGTGAATATTACACACCATGCTTGTCTTTCCGGGTCTGGGTTACCTCACACAAGAGGTTTTAATGATGGTGTTCTTTCATTTTTTGCTCAGTCTATATTCAAGACATAATTATATAAAAAGACTAGATGTGTACAGAGATGTTAAAACTTCAGCCTTGTAGAATTCCTTCACAATTTGGAGAGAATAACTCCCAGGCTGTGCTAAAATATAACACAGAAGGATATTATATTTCTCATCTAGTTCTTTGAAAATTGTACCATATCTATATGTTTCTTAATTCACATTTTCGGCATATGTTAAAGGTTGACTGAGTTCATTAGTTAGATCTTTATTTGTAAGTTTTATGCAGAGAAAAATTGAAAGGATTGGAGGGTAATATGCTCCCATCATAATTTAATTCTGCTTTATTTTTTAAAATGTCAACACAGCAATTGAAGTAAACATATATGTTATCAACATAAGGCCTTTTCTTATATCTTAAATTTCACTATTTAGTATTTATAAACATTTTGAGTTATATCTTTTTTAATATTAGTTTTTCAGTGTAGTCAAGAAAAATATGATCGAAACAACCTCTATCAAATCATTAGACAAAATATCACCTCCTTAAATAAAACATTAACAAATGAGTCACCAGAGTATGAAGACTGCAAATATGAAAAGGAACAGAAGAGATGCTGTGGGAAAACTAATGCTGTTTTAGATTATGGAAAGTACACAGGTGAGTAGGGCATCTTGAATAAGGAATTGGATTATTCTGTATTTCTTCTTTCCCAGAAGATTTGAAGTCCAGTTATCAGGTTACAGTCATGGTGATCTGTGGGTTAATGGTTGGGTTTCTTTATAGCCTGTAGGGGCCCGGAACCACAGAATTCCCTGTATAAATTAGAAGCATCTTATAGTTTCTAGAACTCAGTAACTCTTCTGTCTCCTTCTGCTCTCGGGAAAAGAAGCTCAAAGAGCACAGCTGAGAATTCAGGTAGTTTTCATCTGTGAGCAAATCTGGGTCCCCCTTTCACTGTTAACAGAATGTGGGAGTTTCCAGTAAGAGAGTGTTTTCCAAATTCCTAGGCTGAAATGGACTTAGAACTTTTACGTGAATACAGTCATAAATATAATTCGTTGTATGCTTGTTTTCCTTCTGCTTTGGTATTAGAAAGGTGCCTTCTTTGTGACCAGGGTGTCCTCTCCACAGTGCACATGAGAGCTTCACCATGGAGCTCACACTGGTGTGTGTCTATTAGTGGCACAAAGGTGAACATATCTAATGTTACAAGGAACCTTCCCTTGCATCATGACTGGCTAATAATAACTGACATAGTTTACCATTGAGTATTTGTTCAGAATTTAGAGTTCAAAAAGAACTCTTGCATATGATCTCACTTGTTTGATAGCAGGGGTTGACAGTCTTCAATATAACATCTTTAAATAATATCTTTAAATCTGGTAAATGTAAAATATGTGACAGAAATAATAAGGCTCCAATAATAATCGTTGAGGCATTCCAGACTCGACAAAATGTTTTGTATTATATTATTAGAATAAAATAACTATCTCCTCTAAGTGGTAACACAATTCTAAGTGGTAACACAGAGGAAGGATGATTGCAAATTTGAGGAGGGTCTTTGTGTCAAGTAAATTCCAAGGCAGCCTGAATTACACAATGATGTTACCTCTGCACAGAAAAACAGGGGTTGGACATAAAGGTTTATTAATAGAGAGAGGGTATTTTTACCACCAGAGCAAACAAATAAATGGCATTGAAAAGTAGCTATAGAAACCACACATGTTTTAATGTATTCAAATTTGACACTTTGGGCATGTAAGTGTACCATTGAAGGCCGGAGAACAGAAGATCGTCATCAAAAGCTTCCTTATATGTCTCTTATTTCTATTAAGGTAAAAGCATCTAACATAGACTACAGAACAGTTGTACATGCATAATAGCATGTGGGCCACTGTGGGCACAGTGCACTGCTGCAGATCTCCATTGATTCCTACATGTAATGGCCTCAGAGCACCGAGTACTCATTTCCCATCCCAGCGGTCCCTGGGATCTTACAAACCTCTGCTTCTTAGAGCTGAGCTGTGTTAGAAACCTCATCTGAATGGAATCAAAAAGCATGGTTGTGGCCGTGATTTGTCTCACTTTGCATTCTGTCTTCAAATTCACCCACACTTCTCTGACACACTTTCTTGTAGACATCTGAGAAAGGGAGGATATTGCTAAGATTCTGCTGTTTCGTTTTTAATGAATCTTCTCACAGCAGATGCTGTGTCCTGACACTAAGTGAGCAGCATTTAGGACTCACCTGGGAGCCTCGTAGGTGTTGTGAGGTGCTAGATGTTAGGTATGGTTTCATTGTGTAACCAAAGCTGACTTGGAATAATAATGTATAGTCAAAGCTGGCCTGGAATTCACTGCTTAACCAAGGCTGACCTCAAACTGGAGGTGAACTTCCTGCCTCGGCCTAAATAGAGATGGGCTTATGGGCATCAGCTATGCCCTGCTGGATTTCCTTCCCTTTCAAGGATAGGATAGTATTCCTTTGTGTGTACATGCTACATTTTTTCTATTGATTCATCTGTAATTAACACTTAAATTATATTCACATTTCTATTATAAACAGTGCTTGCAAAGAGCATGGGTGTAGAGGGGTCACTCGGCATTCTAGAATCTCAATTTCTTAGATCTGTGAGATTTTACTCAGTCATAGATGTGTAATAAAGACATTGTTCTAATAATAAAATACCTGAAATTAAGATTTTCACAATTCTTTCTCTGCTGTAGGCAAATGTACTGAAGCACACTTGTTCTGCTGTGGAATAAAATGTTATTATTTCATCATGGACAATAAACACTGGAATGACTGTAAACAGACCTGCCAGGACTGCAGCTTATCCCTTTTGAAGATAGATGATGATGAAGAACTGGTACTGTAAACTCTTAACATGCCCATTTATTCTCTTAGACTCTGTTTCTAAATCTTGGAGAGTGAGATATTGACCCCAGGATGGATTTTTGATAGAGAGACCTTTAAGGATTAGATATGGTTGCCTGTGATAAGAGCAAACACTGCATTAAGAGTCTCTAAGGATACCCCTCCTGCTCCTTGGTTAGTTGTCCGAACATAGGGTCTGTTTTCAGGAGACTCTACTTAAAGAGACAGTTGTCTTTACAAACTCCCCAGTTTCTCATGAGTCTGCAAGAGAGTCACTCTGAGAAGCATGTTTTCCCTAATTAAGTTATTATTTTATTACAGCACGTTCTGTGAATGACAGTTATGTGTCTCCATAAAGTGCCAGCAACACACGGAAAGGCAACTGTCTTGGGTTTGTTCTTTGATACCCAGAAGTGAGACTGCCTGAGATGAGTAATTGGATTGCAGTGGAGAATGTAACTGACCAATGGGGCAATCTTCAAAATGGAGATTATATGAGAACCGTAGAATTAAATTATTTTTTGTTTATAACCATGCTGATTTTCAATGAATCTCTCCATGATATTTACCTCATGATATTCTAATGTTTCACAAAATGTTATCTATCTTTAAAAATGAGTATTACAGGAAAACAAGTGGTCAAGATACTGACATTACATTATACACTTTCACTATAGAAATCTTTACAGAGTTGGGTGGTGGTGGCTCGTGCCTCTAATCCTAGTACTCGGGAGGCAGAGGCAAGCAGATCTCTATGAGTTCAAAGCCAGCCTGATCTACAAGAGCTAGTTCCAGGACAGGATTCAAAGCTACAGTGAAAACCTGTCTCAAAAAAATTTTTCAAAAAACAAACAGAAAGAAATCTCCACAAATACATAAAGGGTCTTTTTCTAGAGAAATGATTGAGTGGTCAGCTTGAAATCTTTTTCATTTAGAACTTGATGAATAATACTCCACCAATGTAATACACGCTGAATAATTACAGCATAAAATAAATTTTTATGTGAAGTCATTGATATAATTTTCCATTTGATACATGAAACATAGATAAATTTAAAATCATAGCCTAAAATATATTCAATAGTTTTATTAGCCATCATGTCCACATATGTCACATGTAAAACACACTAATTTCTTTCACATACCTCTCACTTCCTCAATTTCTGTCACTTTCAGATCTGAAAAATAGCATGGCTTACTCACTAGAACATGGAGGATAATCCACAGCTTTTCATAGTATTTTTCATCTTAATGAATTTGGTTTGAAGCCGGAATTCACTTAAGATGAACGCTTCTCACATGCCTCCATAGTCTTCTGAAATATGAATTTGTATAATTTCATGAAGCATCAAACTTACTTAAGGAGCTGGATATGCAATGTGCATTTAGTGATTGAAGCAGGGAGGTTGTGAGTTCAAGGCCAGTCTTGGCTACACACTTAGTCTTTCTTTAAGGATCACACATGTAAATCTTTTCATGAAAATAGTATCTCTAGACACTTGAAGCTTCATTTTAAATAACTTATGTAACTGACTGGTTCTGGTATAACATGAGAAATCACTTTAAATATGAACTTGGAAGAACTGAAGGACTGGAGGACAGGACAGAAAAGAACTGACATAAGAATAGCTGGGATCTATTATCGCTGTTCTATTCTTATCAGACAGAGATAAATTTTATTGTAAGATAAATTTTTTATTTTCCTTACAGAAGTTTCTAATGTACCATCTTACTACAAACACTTTTTGGATTGGATTATCTTATCAAATAAGCAAAAGCAAATGGCAATGGATTGACAATGGCACATCTAAATTGTAAGTTTTCTGAACCATCATGCTCTACCACTGAAGCCAGACTTGGGAGGATTGTTTGCAAAAGTTTGTCTCTCATTTCACATAGCTTTTCACATTTTCTATGAAGCTTGAGGGTAAGGAACAGAAGCACAAGGCAGTATCTGAGCAAGTATTAGACAAGGAATAGAAATGTGTAGGAGCTCATGGCCAGTGATGTAATACTAAACACAGCTCAGGATTGCGTGTTGTAAGATGCACAGAGCACAAAAAAAACAAAGCTTACGATAATGTGAAGTGATTTGATCTTCATGAAAATTACAATGAGTGTGAGTATCTTAAACATTCCTGACTTGTTTCTGTAGTTAGCTTAAATAATTGTTAATTTATAAATATAG